ATGTTGTGGACACAGTTAGCAAGAGAACACAATAGGTCACCTGTCAGAGGCATATTGTATCATAGCAACCAATTAATTTTAACCTGTCAGATTTCTGCTATCTTCCAAGGCAGTTCAGAATATAACTAGTGATGATGGGTAAATAGGTGAAAGGTCTATATACTGGCAATTACAAAAAAAAAAAAAAAAGGCCCATTTGGGATTTAATTAAATAGGTTTCCTCCTTACGCACATACTTCTGATTACAGGTTTAAAAACATGTTTTTTTTTATTCTGTAATGCCCTGAAAATGAATAAGCTTTAGATTCCTTCAGGCTCATTGCCTAGTAATATGGCTACAGATCCTGAAAGGAAGACCCACCAAAGTGAGCCTACAGGTTCAAACTTTATGTGTAAGCTTTGTAGTACCTTCCCTACAGGTACTTCCATTAACCAAAATAAAATGGAAATTCTAAATGTACGCAATCTAGTCTAGGTTGAAATTTTGTTTAATTGTTCACAGACCTTTAGAATTTTAAATAGTTGTAAAAAGTAAAACTGCACATATTGTAGGGAATTTAATTGAGGTGCAGCAAAATAAAGTCCTAACCCTGACTATGAATGTGCCTGGTTGTATCCTAAATCACAATGTTATACAGGTTTAAAATGTATTTATTAAAGAAAGACAACCAGTAAAATCACTGAAATGGGATTTCAAATCAAAATGAGGGATCTTTTGTTGCAAGCACTGTTTTGTGGCTCTAACCTTGTGCTGAAAACAGATTTTGAACTGTGCATTCCTGGTAGCAAAGTTCCAACCAGATTTGCTTTAAAATATACAGTATATGTGGGCAAAATCTAAAAAGAAAAATAAAAATAAAACACAATTAGCACAGATTTTCAATATCTTATAATCAATGCAAGTACTAAAAAAAATACCTTGTGACAGGAGTATCCTCCAAACTCACCTATAGCCAAGCTCCGAACTTGCACTCAATTTACTCCGATGGGCTGTGTGTGGGCTGGGCTATGTTCATGTGGACTCAATGTTAAGGTGGCACCCCATGTTAGAAGTGAGCCACACAACTGGTGCCACTATACCACAACCTGAGGTTCCGTACTGTGAGCCACTTTGTCCTTTGGTACCGCACATCTTGTCTCCTGGAATGTAGCATTTAGAAGGGACACCACTGGGCTTGTTTCCCACTCCACCAGTCATGTTTTTCTATCACCTCATGCCCAATGACAGAGTACAGGTTTTGGTACATTACAGTAAAATCCTCCTGAGTGCACATCTTACTCCAATAACTCTCCCCATACCTGCGGATAGGTCCCTCAGGTCTTCGCCACATGGGCTTGGTCCTGGTTGCTGGGGCACCAACTGCTAGTGAGGGAAACAGTGAACTGATCCTCTTGCTATACAGAGAACCCATCAACCCTGTTATTACTGTCCTTCCACTGTTTGGCTGCCATGTCATTCCTTTGTGTTTGTTGCGTTTAATAACTACATGTCCTTCTCTTCAGCCTGTGTATATGTAACAGGCCCTGTTTTTTGTCATATGTCATATACCTCCATGCATCCCTTTGCAGTAACTTTAGACCAGGCAATGAACAGTTAATAAAATGTTTCTGAGCATCTTAGAAGCACAGTTCAGCAACATGAGGAACAAAAGGCATTAGTCTCATACAGGTCCGTGGATAAGGGGGTACTACCAGTCCTCCTGTACGTGGCCCAAGCCAGCAGGGGGGGCCCAGGCAGCTGGGTGAATCGAAAGTGGGCAAGAAGGGTGATCAGCATGACGGGGGGGCATTTACTGGATCCAACCCCCTGTATGGCGCTTTCTGCAGCAGCTGAAAGCTGGCGTCTTCTCCTCTCCCACCCGCTGGCTGTTCAGCTGATGCAGAGAGAGCCATGCAGGGGATCAGTTCCAGTAATTGCCCCCCCCAGCCGCATCCATCACCCTCCCTGTGCACCATACATTTCCTTCTGCTGCCCAGGCTCCCCTGTGTGCCCCCACCCCCAGCAGTGCTCCGGCTTCCCTCCCTCTCCTCACCGGAAGCTGCAAGCACACAATAGGATCCTTCAGGAGAGAGTGGGGGAAGGGTCCGGTAAAATATGTCACATTTATCAGCCCCTTCCTTCCCTGAATGAACACAGTTAAAGATTGGTAGCTATCACTCACTGTGTTTATTCATAACTGAAGCCAAGTAAACTGTACTTTTTTGGGGGGGGGGGCCTGTCAGGTTGGCTGTATGGGGCCCCATGGTTTCTAACAGCAGCCCTTGTCTCATATCTACATGCAGGCTGCCCAGTGCATATCTTTCCCAGAATCAGAGACCTCAGAGTTCATAATCGTGTAGTGTTTTGGCTCCAGGTGTGGTTCCTCAAGTGCCCTTGGGGGCACTCTGTTGATTGGTGTGGAAAACACAGTAAAGCAACCCTTCTCCTGAGTTCTCATGTGGGGCTTCGTCTTCTCTGCTCAGGTCCCCCCTATTTACTGTATATGAGCACAACATAGAGGGCAGAGGACTCAAAAGCCCAAGAAAGATCTGAGCTACAGTTAACTCCTTCCCAACCTGGGCATCTGTCAGGGATCCTGTCACTGTGCAGCAGACGGATCTCCTCGGGTCGTGGTGGTGCGAGTGCACTGGGCGCGGGAGCATGCGACCGTGCATGCGCGGCAGTGCGGAAAGCTCGCGCGCATGCGCAGTAAGCGCTCACGTCATGGCAGGCAGACTATTTAAACCTGCTTCATTGTTGAATCATTGCCTTCTGGTCTACAACGTTCCTGCATACCTTCCTGAGCCTGATACCTGTATTCTGCATACCCGCCTAAGAAAGAACTCTGCCTGCACTGACCCCGGCTATCCCTGACCATTCTCTTGTCTGCTCCTCCTGTACTTCACTGATCACTTGTTACTGACCCATGCTTGCCTAACTCCGCCGTATGATCCTGCCTGCACCTACATCTGACCTGCATCTGGTTGGCTACCATACCACCTGCCGCTGTACCCACGGCTCCCCATCTGACCTGCATCCGGACCACCATCATGCCTGTCAGCCACCGCATCCACGCATTGGTGCGCGGTCCCCCAAAACCTGCACTCTGACTGCCGCTACACCTGCTGGCTGCTGCACCTACGTTCCTGAACCCACTCCTGGCTTGTGTCCGGATCTCCTGGGTCCCCAGCTACCTACTAACAGTCTTCAGGATCCACATGGCACTCCTGCCACTCCTGGCTCTGCGCCCCTGGTCCCACTTCCAGGGGCCCCGAGCAGGGGTTGTAAGAGGACGCCCTCTCTTCACATCAGGCTCCCCAACCAGGTACGTGACAGCATCCTGTGATTTACTACATACACAAACAGCAATGCAGATGACACAGGAGCCCACAGTGCAGAAAGGGCTAAAATACTCACCACAGCCTGTAAGTACCTGTGAGGTCATTCCTACCCCACAGCCTGCCTTCTTTGTTTAACAAGCTGCGGGGTGGAAATGACCTGGTCAGCCATAAATGGTAATCTCTAGTTTTGCATTATGGATTATGTACATTTGGTAGAGCGGAAAGCAAATCTTCTCAATTAATGTGTTAATGTTTTGCAAACCATGTGTCCATTTACAGCTTGTGTGAAAAAAAGAGCCCTGTGTGAGAACCCTCAGAAATTTCTGGATTTCTGCATAAACACAAATTTGATCTGGTCTTCAAATTAAAGGATAAAAGGAAATGCAGCTTATTTCAGAAAAATGGAGTATATCCCTTTCTTACACCAAACTGAAATAGACCATGTGATTAAAGGGGTGGTGCAAAGGCTCCCAACTGGTCACATTACATAACATACAGTAGGTAAAATATGCCAAAAAGCTTGTTTTAAAGAGTAAAGCTATTTTTTATTGCATGATCACATAGAGAAGCAGTGTTTTGGGACCCTTTATCAGGCATGTGATGAGGAGGTCCTGAAACATTGCTTCTTTAGTTGATCATGCAATAAAAAGAGCTTTGCACTTGAAAGAGCTTGTTGGTGTCTAGGTGACATGTCTTTAAAAAAAAAACCAACAAAAAACAGAAAACACAAAATTTTACATTGTCATATCTTTAGTGAGCAAATGATTCAAAACCATCAAGGTCTGTAATGGAAAAATCCATAGATTATTTTTTATTTAATAACTTTTTATTTAATATCTTATCGCCAGTAATCTCAACAAAAGATGTTCTGCTCTTCCAAGATGTGCAGTAGTCAGAAGATATTTGCTTCATTCCAGCACACAAAACTATTGTAATATGTAACAATATACCTTTGCTATGTTGCTTGATAAGTTTTTTTTTCAGATCATGCCAAAGCATTTCTTTAGGCCTGAAGTCAAGCCATTTTCAGATGTTTATTTCCCTTGTAGATGGCAAACAGATGAATTAACATTCTACTGTAAAATGTTCCTATATTTGCTTCACTTCCCAAAGATTATAGGCTGTCCTGATACTGATGCAGCAAAACATTTTTACATCATTGCACGTGCAATTGCTCCCATATACTGTATATAACATCAACCAGTCTCCCCCTGGTCACAGAAGATTTACTGTGACAGGGCAGCAGCTGCAGGCTCAGTAACATAAATAAATGTTGCAAGCCTGCTTCCCAGTTTGGGGCACTTGCAGACACCCCCTGCTGACCTGCGCTGAGATTGAACACAGCAGGATTTTGTCAGCAGGTCCCAACCAATGGCTAAGACCTGCTGACAGGCTGTGTCCAATCACAGCACAGAGCCCTGTGCTTACAAACAACACATGTGTCAGGGACCCTGGGCTTTGCTTCGGTACGTGGGGCGGCGCATGCGCAGAATGCAGAAGCGGACTTGCCAGCGGGCGGTAGGACCTGGGCGACCGCGACAACAGCGACGGCCGCGCATGCGCACTCGCGGACACGCGCCTGGCACCAATGGCAGCGCAGGGCGTGCTATTTTAAACGAGCTGGGGGTATGGAACATTGCTGTTTTGTCTTTATTACCTGTTCCTGCATTCTGGCTGTGAAGTTTTCCTGTTGCCGACCTCTGCTTGATCCTGACCCTGCTGACTGTCTCTCCTGCTCGATCCCTGGCTCATCCTGACTACTCTCTCCTGACTGCTCCTTATGATTGATCTCCCGTTGCTGAACTTTGGCTTGACCTGACTATTCTCTGTCTGCTCCTCTGATACCTCGCTGCCCGCAGGTTACCGACCTGGCCCGCCTGACTACGCCATACCCCACGGTCTCCCATCCATCCATCCCGCACGGATCCAGTCCCTGCTGCTAGGCCTGCCAGCTTCTTCATGTCAGGCTCTATTTCTTGCATACCTCTGACGGTACCCTCTACCATAGCCGGACGTACTCAGGGGTCGTGACCTGGTCTCAGTCTGCTCCAAGTCCATCCCCACCATCAGGGGCCCTGGTGAACAAGCAAATTGGGACTTAGACTCCGCGCCCTGAGGAACCCCGCGCTGTGAGCAGCTAGAGATACCGCCAGGCGGTGGCTGACAACATGGCTCTGTACACAGAGCAGCGATCGGATTGTTCCTTCATCTTGCAAAACAGGGAGAAAAAACAGCCAAATTCCCTAGTAAAGGCAGCACATATCACACGCATTACACTTGTTAGGCACACAATTGACCCTTTGATTGCCCCTGATGATAACCCCTTCCCAGCCAGTGTCATTACTACAGTAACAATGTACAGTATTAACACTGATCACTGTATTAGTGTCACTATTAATGTCACTTAGTGTACCTCCCAGCCAACGTCAACTGGTGCCAGATTGCCCAACACACTATCATAGTCCCACTATAAGTTGCTGATCACCGTTCTTACCAGTATGGCATCTATAGCAGTGTAAACTCCAGTATATGTACCATATTTTGTAGACGCTATGACTTTTACACAAACCAATTAATATACACTTACTGGGATTGGGACAAGTAGCAGAATACATTTTGTCCTACGTTTGTGAAGAAATTTGATGTTTTTAATTTTGTTATTGGATATTTTATATAACAGTAGAAAATATTGGGTTTTTTTTCAAAATATTTGATCACCACTGTTTTTTAAATTTTTTATTATATAAATGAAAAAAGACCAAATAACAGCAAAGGAAAGCTCTATTTGTGTGAAAAAAAAGATAAACATTGCATTTGGATACATTGTTACATGAGTGCACAATTGCCAGTTAAAGTAGTGCAGCACTGAATAGCAAAACAAATAGCAAAACCTTCAGCAGGTCAATTGGTTAAATATAATTTATGAAAACAAAATACAACATAAACAAAACAATGCATCAAGGAAAGTTGGACCTCATATAACTGTGGTGGTGAACCTATGGCACGCGTGCCGCAACAGGCAAGCAGAGCCCTCACTGCCTACATGTGAGCCAAGTTACCCCACTACTGCCCTGCAGCCGAGCATCAGGTCCCGTGCATGTGCGGTCGCGCAGTGCAGGCCGATGACATCACGAGCCGCAACTACCTCCCTAGCTGCTCCTTGGAGCTTTCAGTATGCATTCAGCCTGAGAATGACATTCTTTTAATGTTCCTGATGCTGCAGATGTAAATGCCAAAGGGACAGCACAACATTTCCCCTCTTGCTGGTGGTCAGTGGAGCATTGCCTTCCCTGTCAGTGGAACATTCTGCTGGGTGGTCAGTAGGGGCAACATTTGCTGGTGGTCAGTGGAACATTGCCCCTCTGTGCTGGTGGTCAGTGGAACATTTCTGTGCTGGTGGTCAGTGGAACATTGCCCCTCTGTGCTGGTGGTCAGTGGAACATTGCCCCTCTGTGCTGGTGGTCAGTGGAACATTGCCTGTCTGTGCTGGTGGTCAGTGGAACATTGCCTGTCTGTGCTGGTGGTCAGTGGAACATTGCTACTCTGTGCTGGTGGTCAGTGGAACATTGCCTGTCTGTGCTGGTGGTCAGTGGAACATTGCTACTCTGTGCTGGTGGTCAGTGGAACATTGCCCCTCTGTGCTGGTCTGTGCTGGTGGTCAGTGGAACATTGCCCCTCTGTGCTGGTGGTCAGTGGAACATTGCCCCTCTCTGTGCTGGTGGTCAGTGGAACATTGCCCCTGTCTGTGCTGGTGGTCAGTGGAACTCTGTGCATGGTGGTCAATGGAACATTGTCTGTCTGTGCTGGTGGTCAGTGGAACACTGCTACTCTGTGCTTGGTCATGGTCATTGTGCTGGTGAAACATTGGTGGTCAGTGGAACACTGCATTGCCCCTCTATGCTGGTGGTACTCTGTGCTGGTGGTCTGTCAGTGTGGAACATTGCCCCTGTGTGCTGGTGGTCAGTGGAACATTGTCCCTCTGTGCTGGTGGTCAGTGGAACATTGCCCTCTCTGTGCTGGTGGTCAGTGGAACATTGCCCTGGTGGTCTGTGCTGGTGGTGGTCAGTGGAACATTGCCCCTCTGTGCTGGTGGTCAGTGGAACATTGCGCCTCTGTGCTGGTGGTCAGTGGAACATTGCCCCCTGTGCTGGTGGTCAGTGGAACATTGCCCCTGTGCTGGTCTGGAACATTGCCGCCTCTGTGCTGGTGGTCAGTGTGAACACTGCTACTCTGTGCTAGTGGTCAGTGGAACATTGTCTGTCTGTGCTGGTGGTCAGTGGAACATTGCCCTCTGTGCTGGTGGTCAGTGGAACATTGCCTGTCATTGTGCTGGTAATCAGTGTAACATTGCCCGTCTGTGCTGGTGGTCAGTGGAACATTGCCCCTGTGTGCTGGTGGTCAGTGGAACATTGTCCCTCTGTGCTGGTGGTCAGTGGAACATTGCCCCTCTATGCTGGTGGTCAGTGGAACATTGTCCCTCTGTGCTGGTGGTCAGTGGAACATTGTCCCCCTGTGCCCCTGCTGGTAATCAGTGGAACATTGCCCCTGTGTGCTGGTGGTCAGTGGAACATTGTCCCTCTGTGCTGGTGGTCAGTGGAACATTGCCCCTCTGTGCTGGTGGTCAGTGGAACATTGCCCTCTGTGCTGGTGGTCAGTGGAACATTGCCTGTCTGTGCTGGTGGTCAGTGGAACATTGCCCTGTCTGTGCTGGTGGTCAGTGGTACATTGCCCTTCTGTGCTGGTGGTCAGTGGAACATTGCCCTCTGTGCTGGTGGTCAGTGGAACATTGCCTCTCTGTGCTGGTTGTCAGTGGAACATTGCCTCTCTGTGCTGGTTGTCAGTGGAACATTGCCCCTCTGTGCTGGTTGTCAGTGGAACATTGCCCTCTGTGCTGGTTGTCAGTGGAACATTGCCTCTCTGTGCTGGTGGTTGTCAGTGGAACATTGCCCCTCTGTGCTCGTGGTCAGTGGAACATTGCCCGTCTGTGCTGGTGGTCAGTGGAACATTGCCTCTCTGTGCTGGTGGTGGTCAGTGGAACATTGCCCTCTGTGCTCGTGGTCAGCAAATTCAAGAGGAACTCCAGCTGTGAATGTACGATTTTAATGTACAAGTTGTTTTTTTTAAACTAATGCCTCACTATTCAGATTTAATTGCAGTGTTGCCACTTTGCGATAAATAAGTGGGTTTTGGGTCGCAGTTTGGGCACTCGGGCTCCAAAAGGTTCGCCATCACTGTCATTAAACCACTGATGTGTTTTTTGAACAGACTCACCTTAAAAAAAATTATAGAGAAAAGATTTTTTTTATATCTTTTCTAGGTTTGTGGATATCAGTTATGGTATTAATCAGTGATTCAGGAACAGCTGCTGATAATTCTAAGAATGTCCAGAAGTCACACACAAAATCTACTAATGAGGCACTTTACTGAGACATAATGGTGGCTTCCTAAGTGTCTTTGTCTATGTGGTATTATCCGTCCCCGTTATAGTAAATTCAGAAAATCAGTAGCTCCTTTTATCCTTGGTTATTTTCCTGCATAGGGTCAACTTAAAACTAGATGGCTTTCCTACAGCTTTCACAGTATTGTTAAGAACACAGCAGATTCCCTCCAAGATTCTCTGAACCTAATAACAATTCTATAATAGTTCTCTTTCCCAGAATGCAATTATTTATTTGGATTTGTCCTTTTAGTTGCAGCATGTGTTTGGCAATGTGGGCAAAAAACAGTACAGATGAGGATTTATGATTTACTTGTATTATGTATAAGATCCTCAATTTCAATTCAATTATTTTTTATTAATATTATTATTTCCTTTTTTGTAAGAGACAAATTTTGGCCTATACATATGATGAAAACACCATCAACTTTTTTGGCCAAAACTTGGCTCTTGGTCAATGATAATATAGCATGTTGGATTATATAGACTCCATCTACATGGTACATAGTGCTCTCCTGAACCCTGCACTCTGTACATAGTGCTCTCCTGAACCCTGCGCTCTGTACATAGTGTTTTCTTGAACCCTGCACTCTATACATAGTGCTCTCCTGAACCCTGCACTCTACATAGTATTCTCCTGAACCCTGCACTGTGTACATAACACTTTCCTGAATCCTAAACCCAGTATGTCACAAGCTTCTGAACCCTGCACTCTGTATACAGTATAACATGTTCCTGAATGCTACATAATGCACTCCTCAACTCTGCACTCTGTATGTAGCATATTTCTGAACCCTGCAATCTGTGCATAACACATACCTGAAACCAAAACTCTGTATGTAGCACACTCCTGAACTCTGCACTCTGTACATACCGCATTCTTGAACCCTAAACTCCATAAGTAACACATTCCTAAACCCTGCACTTTCTACATAACAGTCTCCTGAACCTTACACTCTGTATATAATGTGCTACTGAACCCTGCACTCTGTACATAGAGCTCTCCTGAACCCTGCACTCTATACATAGTGCTTTTCTGAACCCTGCACTCTGTACATAGAGCTCTCCTGAACCCTGCACTCTATACATAGTGCTCTTCTGAACCCTGCACTCTGTACATAGTGGTCTCCTGAACCCTGCACTCTATACATAGTGCTCTTCTGAACCCTGCACTCTGTACATAGTGCTCTCCTGAACCCTGCACTCTATACATAGTGCTCTTCTGAACCCTGCACTCTGTACATAGAGCTCTCCTGAACCCTGCACTCTATACATAGTGCTCTTCTGAACCCTGCACTCTGTACATAGAGCTCTCCTGAACCCTGCACTCTATACATAGTGCTCTTCTGAACCCTGCACTCTGTACATAGAGCTCTCCTGAACCCTGCACTCTATACATAGTGCTCTTCTGAACCCTGCACTCTGTACATAGTGTCTCCTGAATCCTGCACTCTATACATAGTGCTCTTCTGAACCCTGCACTCTGTACATATTGCTCTCCTGAACTCTGCACTCTGTACATAGTGCTCTCCTGAACCCTGCACTCTGTACATAGTGCTCTCCTGAACCCTGCACTCTGTATACATAGTGCTCTCTGAACCCTGCACTCTGTACATAGTGCTCTCCTGAACCCTGCACTCTGTACATAGTGCTCTCCTGAACCCTGCACTCTGTACATAGTGCTCTCCTGAACCCTGCACTCTGTACATAGTGCTCTCCTCTCCTG